ACTTGAGCCACACTGTTCATTTGGGTAACGTGTTCTCAAACTTGTTTACTTGTTCACAAAGTTTGAACGCAGTCCCATGTAAATGCATTAAGCCAAAATCCCTCAACCTGAAGGAGAAAGGGTTGACCTTTCTCCTTCAGGTTAACTGAAATTCAGCACTGTACTGCTGTCCCGGGTCTTAGCAGAGACGATCACCACCAGGACCTCGGTCAAACTTCCGCCTCTGATGAAGCACCTCTCAACCATCACGTAGAGGGGAGGGAGCACCATTGCAAAATATGGATATAAATCTGATAACACACATTCAAGTGGTGTAGGGAACTTAATTATTATTATTATTTATTTTATTTTATTTTTTGCATTTAGATATGGCTTTGTTTACTCCCAGCATGCTATATGAGTCACACAAATATGCAGAAAAGAATTAACTCACTAAATAAGCTGATTATTTGTGGGGGTTTAATCAACTTTAAAACCGTCTGCCATTTCATGTACGTTGGTTCCCCTTGTGTCACCAAGCTAGTTGTAATTCTTCTGGGGATGTCCTGCAGTCTCTGGCACCCTTTGGGTCTTGTGAAATATGGATTTTGGCCTCTGCGGATCGGGCTTGTTCCAGTGCATTTTGTAGATGCTTGGTTGACTGATTGATCGATTGGGGTCTGGCAAGGCTGGATGGTTTGTTATGTTTCTTGAGCTGTTGCTGAGCTTTTTCTGTGGCCAGGATATATCGTCCCGCTAGGGGAAGGCAGCGGCCATTGGGGAGCACTGCTATATGGAGTGTTGGGGTACTTTGAGTGCAACAGTGGTGAGATTGGTGGTATGTGCCAAAGCAAAATGTGCATGAATGTCAAGACCAAAGATTTCTTAGTGGAACATTGCATTGTAGTGAAATTATTTCCTTTCAGCCGTCATTGGTTTGATTTTAAAATCACTATGTTGCTATTATCCACTAATAAATATTAGAGATGACTGGAGGGTTTTCAAATTCTTTTTGATGTGTTTTTCAAAAGTTAGCCTTATCTAAACTCCAAATTTGTTGATTTAAATGTATTTTATCAGATTCGATGATTTATTAAGGCTAATCAGTGCTTCCATAAACAGAAGAAATCAGTTGATGTGAGTGCTGATTATTGCTGATTACACACTCGGGTGTGTGGCTGTTGAAAAAAAAAAATTGCCTCACTTCTCTGTAATTTACTTATTTTATTGGACAGTTTCACAACATGCTTGCTATCAGTTTAATATCTGACACAGAACTGCGGTTACAGCCGCCTCATACCATCCGTCTTAATCTGTTCTAATCTACATCTTATTGGTTTTTCCATCAGTCATCCATCAATCAATGATATTTGGGAGTACAATTTATTTTATATCTGGTACTTGTTGCATATACTCATACTGTTTCTGCTCACACAGACACACAGTCTACACTCTCAGCCTTTTTTTACACATTTCAATTTTGAGTTGAAAGTTGTCTAAAATCCGCCTTCAGTTTAGAAATCCAAATAGCTGGGCGATAAATTTTATTCACCGCATTCGACGGTGGGTCAGTGGCTGATTGGTATATACCTCTCAATCACCCCATGGCCTAGTTGTAACAGAAACCACTGAAACTGAGAGAACAGGGGACTACTGTTTGGGTTTCGTTTTTATCACACGGGAAAAACGAGCAAGTCTGTCATTTTAAACGGATAGAGTGGAAGGTAGAAACATGCGGAAATGGCACAGCAAAATAAATAGTGTGGATCACTTTTCTTTGGGTTAAAATTATTAGTTGTGTTCTGTAAGATAAAGTCATTTAAAAGGCTTCAGCTCTCCTGACCAGAATCAACACATCTGGTTTCTAATGAGGGCAAAGCAGCCAGTTAATTAGCAATACCGTCATCAATTACCCGCTGACCAATCGTACAGAAGCACACACAAACCAGATGCTAAACAGCTTTGCTTTTATGACCAGAACAGTTTGCACGTGCCTCAAGGACACATCCTCCTTGACCCAGTTACCGCAGCAGAGAAAACCACAAAGTCCCGCTTCTCCTCCGATCGGCTCCACCAGCTGTTATACAGTGTGAGATATAAATCCATCACCAACCGTTCCGAGGCTTAATTTCTGACCTGAGGGCTATTATTATTCTGGTCCACATGTAAAACAAGTACAAGTCTGATATTGTTTCCACAGGTGTACACATCCAGTTTAAAACATAAGAAAACTGATTTCTGTACCCCCGCATTGTGAGTGGTAGTCAACGCCAGAATAACAACAAATTTGGCAACAGGCCTCAAAATTTTTTACAAAATTAAGATCTTAGAACAGCTTTAAACACTGGAAGTGATTTGCAGCGATGTGGTGAACAGTGGGAGGTAAATTATGCTCAGTGACTTGAAGTGAGCAGGTCCCAACATAAACTTCTCTCAACTTCCAGCAACCACTGAATCCCCAAAGCTATTTAACTTGGATACTTCCATCTATACTGATTTATATTGGTATGGTTCTGTTTTGGACCCTCTCATCCCTTCTGCATTAACTGTAAATCTGTACAAATATATTGTATGTTAAAAATATTTTTCAGATTCATCTTTCTTTAATGCAGGCGTGCTGCATTTTGCTTTTTAAGATTAAGCTTGATTTTTAAAGATTTTCAGATGCAAATAAACAGATCTGACCAATCAGATCACTGCATTTGGCAACAAGTGCGCTCTTATCTCAAAACACTCATCGGTACTGAATATACAAATAGTTATATAATACAGTTTTACTTCAGACACAGCTAGACGCAGGTAAGGGTCAGTCAGCTTTGAAATTATTTCTCTGACTCCCCAGATGTGGTCCCAACTCCGCCAAAGAGCTTAAACTACCCTGAAATATGTACAAAAGCAGCTCTGATATAACTTCAACTCCTGGACCAAACCATGAAATTCTCCCTGCTTCTTACCTCTCGGGAGGATTAGATGAACCCAGAATCTCTGTTTTTCTTTCTGTTGTTTAGAAACATCAGAGCCAGCTCGTCTTGTTTCTGATGCTGGTTTGATAGCTTGGTGCTGAGTTTTGGTGTGTATATACATTACAGCAGCAGTCCCCAACCTACGGGTGACTCACGGGCCGGTACTGGGCCACGAGAGT